TCAACACTAACTCACATCTGGTTTATTGTCTGGGTACTTAACTAATTGAAGCATTTATATTTTCACCAGGAAAGGCGGTTTCGTATTGTTTGATTGCTATTATCATCCCATAGTTGTGTAAGCGCTATACACGCTTCTCTTACGATCTTTTATCCCAATGTTTACAATCAGAAGTAACGAAATCGTTGGCCAATGGAAATGACCTCTCCGCCTGTGCATTGATCGGGAGGGCGAGTGAAAATTTAAAGATGGCTTCTTCACTGGCTCGTGGTGTTTCGTTGTTGAAAATGACTAATTGAAGCACTTATTACTCCATCCATAAAGAAGGTAAGGTAATGTTTGATTGCTATTATCACCCTATAGTTCTGGAAGCGCTATTCACATGCTTCTGTTGACAGCCTCCGACCTTTGTGACTTTGGATTTCTGCCCACATAATGCTGACACGCGGTTTTATGAATAGTTAAATTCAAAACCTCAACTCCAGTGAACAATAGGTCTCGACCATCTGCTGAAACAGAATCCATTGCGGGAAAACGGTAAAACAGTGGGGACAATTATATGAATGGAAATCAATGATGACACCATGTGTTTGCGAAAAGGGTAAAACATCCTGCCCTTCTTGTAGCACTCTGTGCTCACACAATTTGTATAAAAATGTAAGTGTGTAATATTATCATTAAAAAACGTCAATGTAGTCTATATGTTTGAAGTTGGTTGGTTGTTTATTGTTTTACGCCGCACTCAGCAATATTCAGGCTATATGATGACGGTCTGTAAATAATCGAGTCTGGACCAGACAATCCAGTGATTGCTATCATCAGCATCGAACCACGCAATTGGGATCGATGACATGTATCAACCAAGTCAGCGAGCCTGACCACCCGATCCCGTTAGTCGCCTCTTACGAGTCCGGACTGATGCCGATTTAAAGTGCTAGCTCACTGAGATACCATGCCGCAGTTTAACATGAATATCCCACTCAGACACAATATACTGACTCCGAGCCGAACAGTCCTTGTTTTAGCCCCTTAATGCCGTGCGCCAGACAGGGTAACAACAAGTACCATCCTTTAACGTAGTATGACGCAGCCGGGGATTAAACCCCGGACCTTCCGCTCTCCGGGCAGACGTTCTACCTCTAGACCACGGAGGCGGTCCAAGTTTGGTAGGCCGTGTGTCTGTGTGTGTCTGTGCGTGCGTGCGCGTGCTTGTGTGTGTTGATTATATGTTACTGACATGTTCAAATCAATATGACATGAACTCAAATGTGTTGCTGTTCAAAACAGTGATGTTTTTTTATTTTCATGCGTTGTGGTGTTTGAGGCCAATATTCTGAAAATTCACAATTTGACGTGTTTCATCCTGTTTTGAAGTTTATGCTGTAATGTAGCCCTGATGATGGCTGTTAATCTGTGCACTTGTTTCTAAGATCTTTGTTACAAGATGTAGACAACAGTGTTCTTATGGGACAGTACAGTTGCAACACAAACGTACCGTTTGTCAATTTTTTATGTGACTGTGTCGTAAAACCTTTTTTGCCTGCGTATAGTGGAAGAAGCATCCCCTGGTGTCTGTACCAGGCAACTCCTCCTCGACAGCTCGCATCACAGCAACTTCAAAGTCAGTCCGTCTTACTTGTGGCTGTAGAGGAGCTCCTGTGATCTGCAGCACTGTCTCCTCTAGCTTCTGAAGGAGTCTGACATATGTGGATCTCTGGATTCTCAAAGAAATCTAATATTGGAAGAGTTCATTCCTAGCATGGGTATGTTGTTTTCATTGTGTAGGCATTATTCCACACTGCTTTATTTTTTTGTAGGCAATAGTTACTGTAGGCAAAAGTGGACGTAGGCATTAGTGACTCGAACCCCTGATACACAGGTTTTGTAAGTGAGTGAGTGAGTGAGTATGGTTTTACGCCGCTTTTAGCAATATTCCAGCAATATCACGGCGGGGGACACCAGACATGGGCTTCACACATTGTACTATTGTTTGGGAGAAATCTAACAATGAATTTATCCTGAAGTGACAATCTTTTAGTGAGTGTGTATGGTTTTACGCCGCTTTTAGCAATATTCCAGCAATATCACGGCGGGGGACACCAGAAATGGGCTTCAAACATTGTACCCATGTCGGGAATCGAACCCGGGTCTTCGGCGTGACGAGGGAACGCTTTAACCACTAGACTACCCGACCGCCCTGGTTTTGTTAGTACATGTTAGTGATTGCAGGGTACGTCTGACCTAGTACTGAATTACTCTGGTTGTTTTGAGCTAAACGTATCGGCTAGGGATTTTGTACTCAGTTTTTCTGGTAATCCGAGGATAACAAACCTTCCCGTGATTATCTAGCTTTTGGGGAATATCAGAAATTCCTCGCGCAGTCAGAGTCTTCAGTCGATCGGACTAGTTTGATATCCAGACGTTCTCGTTTGTTTTATGGTCAATTAAAATTATTTTAGGGATAGGCCCTCTGTGTCTATTTCTCGTTATTTAACCCAGTCCAGCTTATTAACTCATAAAAGCAAATTACTACACTACATTTAAGACTACTATTATACTAGAACCTTATCTATTAAGTGTAAATTCACATAAGTTTAGAACAGCTCTTTCTCGATTTCGTTGTGGCTCACATGATCTATTTATTGAAACAGGCAGATATGAAGGTATTGCAAGAGAACATAGACTTTGTAGGATTTGTAAAATTGATTGTCTTTAAGATGAATGTCGCTTTTTATGTGTATGTCCAGTGTATAAAGATTTAAGAGCAAAATATCGAAATAACTATTTCTACCGCAACCCAAACGGTAACAAATTTTGTAAATAAATTACTTGTGATTGTACAGAAACTATTAGAAATTTATCAACGTTCATTCATCATGCCATGAAACTGAGAAAATGTATGAATTTGTAACACGCCCCAGACAATGTACTATAGGCCTTTGGCCTCATAAGTACCATGAATAAAGATTGATAAAGAGTTAATAAACTCAGGGATTAATTGGTCGCAGTCGACTTCAATGGCTGTCTCTTCCTATTGTCAATATCTTGTCAAAATGTTATTTTAGCTACTCTCAATATATTACTGTAACACAGCTGCTTAGCTAAGCCGCTTGCGTTTTTGCTCTGCTTTATTTGGTTTGGTTTGGTTTAGTTTGTTTGTTGTTTAACGCCGCACTCAGCAATATTCCAGCTATGTGACGGCGGTCTGTAAATAATCGAGTCTGGACCAGACAATCCAGTGATTGACATCATGAGCATCGATCCACGCCATTGGGATCGATGACATGCAACAACCAAGTCAGCGAGCCTGACCACCCGATCCCGTCAGTCGCCTTTTACGACAAGCATAGTCACCTTTTACGGCACGTATGGGTTGCTGAAGGCCTATTCTAACCCGGCGTCTTCACGGGTCCTGCTTTATTTAATCAGCGAGCATTGTGATGAGCATGGTCACATGGTTTTCTTTCTATAACAACATTTGAACTTAGCTCCTGTTCAACGCTACTTAGATAACAACATTGGCGTCAATATGTTGACATTAAATTTGAGGGAATGAGTATGATTTTTACGCTCCTTTTGGCAGTATTCCAGCAATATCACGGCGGTGGACACCAGCAATGGGACGTTGTCCCCAAATCGTCAATCAACCATGGGTCTTCGGCGTGACGAGCGAACACTTTAACCACTAGACTACCCCACTGCCCACATTAGATTAAAACTTCATCAAATATGTCTGTAACTGACGAATGTGTGCTTTGCCACATTAGCGAGTGTGTAAGGTAGCCTAAAGGTAAGTGCATTCAATCGCCGCACTCAGCAATATTCCAGCTATATGACGGCGGTCTGTAAATAATCGAGTCTGGACCAGACAAGCCAGTGATTGATATCATGAGCATCGATCCACGCAATTGGGATCGATGACCTGCATCAACAAAGTCAGAGAGCCTGACCACCCGATCCCGTTAGTCGCCTTTTACGGCAAGCATAGTCGCCTTTTACGGCAAGCATTGGTTGCTGAAGACCTATTCTACCCCGGATCTTCACGGGTCTTCCAACATTGGTTTCTCCTAATAAAAGAAATGTGTCAAAGCATGACGACACCGCTTCCGTGGTGTAGCAGATGGAGCTGAAGGTCGGTTGCTCAGTCCCAGCTGCATCATGCCAAAAGACGTCAAACAATGGGACTTCTTACCCTACTCGACAGAAAGGAATGACACAAGCCAGTGCAATCTGTTCGAGTGAGGTTTTCATGTTAAACTGCGGCATGGTATCTCAGAGGGCTTGCACTACAAAACCAGCGTAAGCCTGGACTAGCACAATGCATACAAACTTCATTTCACCTCACTCAACGTGAGTGGGTGAGTTGGGTTTAACGCCGCTTTTAACAGTATTCCAGTCATATCACGGCCTGTCAGCTTAATGTGGGAGGAAAGTCCGAAGTGAAGTTTACCACTTCGGCGAAACCCACGAGCATGGGTATGGTGCTGACAAACCTAGAAACATAATCGGGGCGAACCGGGATTCGAACCCACAATCATAGGTTTCTGGCGTGGCCAAGGGACGCAACTCTAAACAGCGAATCGCGGCGCCTTAGACGACTGGGCCACCCGTAACCCCCCCCCCCCCCCCCCCCCCTCCTCCCCCCGCTCACTCACTCAACGATTGAGTGATATTTAGGAAACTATAGGATGGATAGATTGTATAAAAATTGAAAGCCTAGACCACAGATGAAATTGATTGAGTTATTTTAATCAATTGTTTTATTTTATAGTTTACTTATTTAAAGTTTATATATTTTATCATAGAACACTGAAAACTTTCCTGTCACACTTTGAGTTTCAAATGAAAAACTGACACAATTGATTTCGAAGCACACATACATCAAGGAGAAAACCGATACAGTGTTGACGTCGTAATGGCGCAATGCATTAGTATGCTTTCAGTATAGACAATAAGAACAAAACAAGTTAGCCCTGACTTAGTCGGCGTGAAGCAACGAGACCGTCAACATGCTCCTGCTACTAGCGTGCCTCTGTGTTGTGGGACATAACGGTAAGCCATAACGTTGCTACGACATAACAGTAAATCATTTCAAATGGATTTCATGTCACAATGGTTTGCTTGATATTGGGTAACATGTATCAGCATTTCAATGTGACGGGCGTAAATAAAATTTAGACCAACATCAGCGCATTGCCCATGTGGTGTCATCGGTGTGAGTGAGTTAGTTTTAACGCCGCTTTTAACATTATTCCAGTTATATCGCGGCGTGTCAGCTTAATGTGGGAGGAAAGCCCGAAATGATGCAGGTCCTAGACGTTTACCACTTCGGTGAAACCCACGAGCACGGGTATGGTGCTGACAAACCTAGAAACATAACTGTTTCCGGGATTCGAACCCACAATCATAGGTTTCTGGCGTGCCTAAGGGACGCAACTATGCACAGCGAATCGCGGCGCCTTAGACGACTTGGCCACCCGTGCCCCGGTGTCATCAGTGGTTTTCAGTGATCGATTCATGTAACTTCCATTGTTATTTGTTATTTCCCTTTACGCCCATTGGAATCTGAGAGTGGTAAATCTATGACGTTTATGATTTAAAACAAATAATGAAAATTACTATGCTCTGATGTATTCTCAAATTGCGTTTCACGCCATAGAAGATGGAACAAAAGGTATATTGTGTGGTAGATGTAATATTGAAGATGAGGACTATCGTCCCTGTAACAAATGCATTACGATCCCTTGTCCCTCAGATCAGAAAATATATATATGGATTACGTACTTTAACTTTAGTGAGTGAGTGAGTGAGTATGGTTTTACGCCGTTTTTAGCAATATTCCGGGTTTTCGGCGTGGCGAGCGAACGCTTTAACCACTAGGCTACCCGACCGCCCCTTTAACAAGTGTAAGTTGGCATTGTAATAAACAGTAAACGATATGAGTGGAACATTTCCTTATTAAACAACTTCGTCTTATAAAGTAGCAAATCCTAAATACAGTGAGAATGTATATAAAGGTTATCACGCGAGTGCGCTCTGGGATGGTAAATATCCTGTATTAGGAATAAACATTGTGTTTATTCTTTTTTACATATGATGTCATTCATCAACTCTGTGCTCGAAAAATCCTGTCTCTCACAAACATTACCTACATATTGCAAGTTTTCCTGAAATGTGCGCATTAATTAGTATTTAAAACAAAGTTGCGTGAAACTTTAATGACAGTTTGATAGACGCGATCAATTTGCTAACACTCCAATAGTTTGAGTAGGGGTACTAAATCGTCCGAAAGTCTTCCTTGAAAGGTTCCCCTCCCATAGTTAAACAAGAGCGGTCACCCTCCCATCGTCTAGCATAGTACAGTGAACATCACTTGAACGTTAGTTTGATGCATTAACTTGATCGAACTTTGTTTAAAGTAGGAGAAAGTCCGAAATCTCGCGATTTTTTTTCGCACGTGAAGCTTGTTCGAGGCCGTAGGACATTCTCCTTTTCTTACCAACACATTGCAAGTTTTCCTGAAATGTGCGCATTAATATATATATTACGTGAGAAGGAAACTGATGTGTCAGTCGGACAGTCACAACAGTCAACATAGTTCCAGCTGAAACTGTTTCTTTTTTAGTGGCGCAACTACATATGGGCACTACAAATTGACAAAATAAATTGTTTCTATTTGCCTTTCGCGGCAGTAATAGGTAGGCTACTCTAACCCTAGTTGATGAGACGTCACGTTTGTTAAGAGTATGTCCTGTCATAACGTTTCAAAGTGCAGTCAGATGTACACACAGCCACAAAGAGAACCAAGATAACAAGTTTGACGTTGTTCGGCCAAATCCAACAGTTTTAATTTGGGGAAAAGGTTCCAAGCCGCAGAGGTCTGCAAACGCTGGTATGGAAACTGATCCCGCTAGGCTAGTGTCCCCCCTAAATTGTTTCGCAATTTAGAGCGCCAAAATTGCCAAACTTGTAAACTGCTTCAGCTTCGTCACAGTTAGACACTGAATTTCAGTATATTAGACTATTCTTTTGAAAATGATAGCAATTATCGCTGTAGTTTCTCAAGATTCCCGAGGATTAATTCTGACTCGATCGCCAAAAAACAAGGACGACGTCATGTTTGTCTTTAAACACTGAAAGTAGTCCATCTCGTCGCATATGACGCATATAATTTTTATCCGTTTTATACTGCCGAGAAACCTACCAATATATGATAATGAAAATCTATGTATAATTTCAAAATGATAAGACACCATCGTTTAATGGTATTCATTCTCAACATTTTAGGCTGTTTAGAAGGTAAGTCAATTGGAACACACTGCTTATGTAAACTAGATAGATACAGCAGTCAAAGGTCAGAGGAGGATAACATCCAGAAAATTAGAGACTCCTACATGATGACACGTCATATTTGATTAAATATTTGAATGATATCCAGTTATTGATCTGGAAAGGGGTAAACTAATTGTTTGCTGATTGATGCTGTTGGTACTGTTGTTCGCTGTTTCCATATAATTACCTCTTTATACCGCAGCACATCGGTACAGCAGCAGCGGGAAGGAATTCCTGGTTACATTTCCAGAAAATGTACTAAACCACAGCAGTCCAAGACCGCAGTGCATCATTATAACGACCATTCTCAATACTACCTCTGTCCGTGTTACCAGTCTTTCTCAGAAAATCAACTACACAAATACCGTGAACATCACCAGCGCTGAAGGAGGTTACATTTGCCTGGAGCAAGGCATCCAGTTGTCTGGGAGTGGGATAACAGATAGAGTGGTGCACGTCATCTCTGATAACGATGTAAACGTTCTTGCTGCCGACTTTGGAATTAACTCTATTGATATCTACCTCGCACTACCAGTTGATCAGTTCGGGTTTAGTTTCTATGTCGTGACATACCAGAGTCTTGGTGATAAGACCCAGTTCTCAGTGATAGCCTCTTCCGCCAATACTGAAGTAATCATTGAGTTCCCTCCTGGCCTGACTACATTAAGGTATAATAATATCACCATTCGGAATCCAACCATAATTAATGTAACCCTACAAAAGCATGAGGTTATCCAGTTCCAAAATGACAAAGACCTAACGGGCGTGTATGTGTCCTCGAACGAACCAATTGCTGTGATAGCGGGAGCAAGAAAATCCAAATTGGACACTGATAAAACCGCGGATCATCTTGTTGAACAAATGACACCCGTTACTACATGGGGAAAACACTTTATTTCCATTCTCTCCCCAGGAAAAGATAACAAAGCAGAGGACCTGTATCGCATCCTCGCTAGCACACCAAACACAACTGTTCATGTGGGTGGTTCAACTTACAGCCTAGAAAAAGAAGGGGACTGGTTCGAAACAAGGATTTCTGCAACTGTTCCTGCTGAGATCAAATCAAATGAAGCAATACTGGTGGTCAAGTTTGTGACATTTACAAAAAATCGTGATCCATGTATGACGATTGTTGGTCCCAACATTCAGTGGCAATATCAGTACAGCTTCAGCTTTCCTGACTCTGTCAAACATGTGCCAGGAGGACGGCTAATTATCGTCATTGACTCGTCCTTTAAGTCAAGCTTAATGCTAAACTCACAATCCCTAGATATTCAGAACTGGGTTGACGTTAAGGACACGAACCTGATATCTGGCTCTATCTTTCTACCAAAAAAATATTACGTCATACAAAGTGCCAGTTCTTCGTTTGCTGCATATATTTATCAGAAGAATAAAACATGTGGTGCATTCTGTTCTGCAGCTGGAATGGACCTTACTCCGATTAATGAGGTAAGGGACAGATATTATTCAATTGATGTCATCACTTTCTTGAATAATTTTTTTATTTTACCCATGAAGATCCGGGGTAGAATAGGTCTTCAGCAACCCATGCTTGCCATAAAAGGCGACTATGCTTGTCGTAAGAGGCAACTAACGGGATCGGGTGGTCAGGCTCGCTGACTTGGTTGATGCATGTCATTGATCTCAATTGCTCGGATCGATGACCATGATGTAAATCACTGGATTGTCTGGTCCAGACTCGCTTAATTTACAGACCGCCACCAGGTAGCTTGAAAATTGCTGAGAGTGGCGTTAAACAACAAACACCCTCATTGCCATGAAACATACTTTCCGCCTGTGCGTTCCCTTTGAATTCTTGGAGATCTTGAACAATACATTTTTCTTAACTTGTAGACTTTCGTACAGTTTTCCACGATCGATATATGAATCATGTCAGCAAAATTGTGTAAACTTCAATTTTCTTTCTTTTAAGAATTGGATTCACTCAAGAGAAAACGTTACAGATTGTAGTACAAGCCCAATGTCGACAACAGCACCATCTGCTGCGACAAAAACAACGATCACGACATCTGCAAGTCCTTCCACCACTGCAACTGCGTCTAGTGCAACCACAACGATGACAACCCCAAGCCCGATCACGACATCTGCAAGTCCTTCCACCACTGCAACTGCGTCTAGTGCAACCACAACGATGACAACCCCAAGCCCGATGACGACATCTGCAAGTCCTTCCACCACTGCAACTGCGTCTAGTGCAACCACAACGATGACAACCCCAAGCCCGATGACGACATCTGCAAGTCCTTCCACCACTGCAACTGCGTCTAGTGCAACCACAACAATGACAACCCCAAGCCCGATCACGACATCTGCAAGTACTTCCACCACTGCAACTGCATCTACACCAACCACAACGATGACAACCCCAAACCCGATGACAACTACTACTAGTGCTACTTCTTTAAGTACCAAAGCTGAAACCACACCCACCATTGATACAACCCAACCCGCATCAGGAACTGATAGCTCAACGGTTGGTGGTAACGAAAACCCAGCAAACAATTGTTCGCAGGGGGCATACCAAGGTATACATCAAAATATCACCCAGCAGGAACTCGAGATACTTGTGAAGCATCTGCAAGCACACCTACGGATCCTCCCCAACGGTACATCCAAAGCAATCAGGAGGAAGATCAGTGCACCTGATGACAGACCCTCGTCGAAGACGTTTGGGGTAACAGGCTGCACTTGCCTCTCTTTGTGTTTCGTGGTTCTGTTGCTGGCAGACATTCCACGAATAATAAGGCATCTTAGAGGATGCATCTGATGTATGTGTTTTGCGTAGGGATCCAAGTTCTTTGTGGTTAAAGCGTCTGTCCTGCACAATGCACACTGCTCCATTACCAACAATGGTCCAAAGTGTTAAGCCTCCTTCCTGCATCTGAAGGTAGAGAAGGGTCACACAACATAACAAATCATTGTCATAACATGAACTTGTCCTGGCCTGCGGGTATCATCTTAAATGAATAATGTAAATCCATGAATGTCAACAATTATTTGTTTTCTGAATATATTTTGATATTAGGGAATGTCCACATACAGAATCTAGCATAAACCAAACACCCCATGGACGTCATGGAAATCCTTTGCTGCAAGACAAGCCATGTTTGTGACGAGTGCCACCATTTAGCAGGATATGCTCAATTGTTCACGAACACCAGTCAGCATCACTATTTGACAATGATATCACAAATATTGGCTCATGTTATTTTCGGAATCGTACAATCGAATCTTGTATTAGGAAAGGGTTTCGTCGCTTATATTTACGAATTACTACCAAACAGTTCTGGAACCATACATGTATTTACCATGTCTTTATATTATGATTCAACAACACAGACAAGGAATGTTCAGGTATTATAGTTGCTCTGTGATGAGAGAGCAAATTGTTAAATCACGACAATGTTGTTTTTGTTTTTTGTTGTTTGCGTTTGTTTTTTTTGTTTTTTTTAAAGCACGAATTACTACCAAACAGTTCTGGAACCTTATTGTTGCTCTGTGATGAGAGAGCAAATTGTTAAATTACATTTTTATTTTTTTTGCGTTTTTTGTTTTTTGCTTAAAGCCGCGCTAGGCACAATATTCCAGCCATATGCCGGCCATCTGTAAATAATCGAGTCTGGTCCAGACAATCCCGCAATTGACACCATGAGCATCGATCTAAACAACTGGGAAACGATGACATGCATCAACCAAGTCAGTGAGCCCAGATTATCAAGTCCAGTATCAAGTGTAATCTTTCTTTAGCCCGACATTCAACATATATAGCGTTTGGTGATGTTGTTGGTATGCAGTAAATTCCAAGCCCATGTTTCGATCCTGTTTCGATCCTGTCTGTAAGCACAATAGGGTGTTTCACATGAACACACATGTTGCAGTGCTAATTGATGTTATTGATATTTTGGGTCACAATGTTTGAAGATCAAGGAAGAAAAAAATGTTTCAAACATTTTCCCGCTTCTTCTCCTTTTCAAGATCGTTTGTTTTTCAGTATTTTCTTCACAGCGCGAGTTCACGCGAATGTAAATGTATTGAACATAATCAATACAACATGTATATTCGGTACATATCGATACCATGAAAGGTTCAAATTGACAAATCGTTATGACGTTTAACTTTGTGTAACTTTGTAACTTTTAGCATCTGAAAACATGCAAATCGATTTATGTGAGGGAACTATTTTTAATCTACGAGTTTGATCAGAGAGTTAACAGAACATCTGGTTCCTTTCTTGTCAAGTGACATGTATATCTCATTTAAAAAAGTTGGCACCAAGTAACTTTTAATGTGGTCACTCGATATACATGTTAAACAAGTTACGTCAAGTATCCTGTATTTAGTAACTTCATTTTTTCTTATTTACCTTCATCGTATTCCATGACGAGGCCTGTTGTACTGTCTTATCTTGGATCACTGAAGTTAATTTTTCACTTCCAACACCACACGCAGATAGATCCAATTGCACATAGAGAGTCTATTCTTTTACTTATACACTTTAGCACAAACGTACAGTTTTAGACCTGAGATCGCGTGGTGCAAGAAGATTAAGATCGATAACTATCTTGTCCTCTCAGGGGACAAATATTGCCTTTACCGCAAGGAAAGATGTATATTTAGGAGTAAAATAACAAGCAAACCCGTTTGGGCCATCCCCAATACTTCACGAAATGATCGAAAAATATTCACAACTACAGGTTAATTGTTATAATGATATGTTATATATTTATCAATTATGGACCAATCATAGTGGTAATATCTGAAAATAACGATTGTTCTTATAAATACCTTGGATTGAATTTTACTAGACATCTTGATGTACACAAAACCGTGAAAGTGTTATATAACTCGACACCTTGGGCTCCATCTGCACTCTGCACAAAGTGTATTCGTGCGGTTGGTATATTATACGATGCTTTTGGATTTTGGATATAAGGATTTGTTGAACCAGTTCTATTTTATGCTGCTGGTATAATGTGTATGCGGTTTAAATAACTTCAAAGAACTCAAAATTAGCCTAAATAAGGATTGTTGTCTTTTTCTCGGAGTAAATAAAAATGCAAACAATATTGCTATTTCTTGTATTGAAGTTGAATGTCACCTTTTAATTGATTGTACATTTTACGATGATATACGTTTTATCTTTTAGAAGAAGCTTAAACTATTAACATAGATTTTTTAAACGTAAGTAGTTTAGATAAACTGATTATATTTTAAATGAAGATTTATTGCAACCTGCTGCATACTATAACAACATATCTATAATATGTCTAAAAGAGGACAAAATAATCTGAATTATATTCATACATGTTTGTTAAAGTGTATATATTTTAAATGTTTCTAGTGTATATAATGTCATTGTCCCGAAAGCCTAGTACTCCTGGACGTACAGGCTTTATATGTCTGAAATTATATACTGAGTGTACTGTATATGATTATACACATGACACAAAAATAAACATTGCCTGTTGTTACCGATGTCAACATGTGTATTCTACCATGACATATTAAAAAAAATCTTTTTGGTTGGTGTACAAGCAGCACCTTTAAACAATGATTTTGACTATCTTACACAAACCCGACCAGTAGGCAATTTCAAATACTTATTTTTTCTAAATAAGCTTTGCGAAGAACCGTGTTGTAGGTGCTATGATCGTCATTGATCTTTGATCAGTGGTCTTCGCGAACACCTGGTATGATTTCCATTTGTTAGCGATTCGTAAACACATGTCTCAGGATACAGTCCGAATCGTACAATCGCAGAGATGTCTATTGGATACGAAAAGAGTTTTGTCGCTTTATAGATTTGTGTTCCACCATTCAACCTGTTTACAGTATTATATTGATCCGATACAACATCACTCTTTACCTCCATAATGGCTAATTTTTAAGCAATGTCTACTTCACAAATCTGCAAGCATATGGGAGAGTTTCATGAAGGCGAATGTATTGTTAAATACATGTTTTATCACTTGTTTGATATTATAGGAATACTCAGTAACAATATGTCACCGGTTTTAGGGGAATCATGTCAAATGCCATCAAGAAATGGTCCTACTTCTGGGCTTGTTTTGCTTGGTGATGTACACCTCCTGTAATACTTACAGGTCAACATATTTCATATGCTTAAAACATTGGACAATCACTGCTGGAACGCAAAGATAGTATATTCACTTAAAATGCACTATATTTTTTCTAAGCATTTCACACTTCACATGGAAAGATCATAAAGAGAGCTAACATTTGATATAATGCATGTTAAAATGAATATAAAACTACAAAATGTCACATGATTTTTGCAATGCAGAAATACCATTTTATTCTTCACACATTGTTTTTATCATTATCCAACCGGACTATTACCGGGCATTTCATTTTGGCGCGGGAAACTGATAAAGAACAGACTGACACATTTATTCAGTAACAACCTATGAAATATGGCCACTCATAAATCGTTTGTCCGTTGGGGTCATAAATTTTAACATGGCTCTGATGTCTGCTGCTTTCTCTTTGGCCATTTTTTGGAATCCCAGAAACTTGCTTGCTCAATGGCCATACCACTGAAGTATGACTTCTTGGTGGTGACGACATTCTTTTCACTGACATCTCACGCTTACGAAGTGAAACATGTTCCAAATCAGCTTCGTGCTCAAATGATTTCTTGAACGCCAAGCCAAACAGATCTTTGTTGCTGTACTTCAATGACTTCACCTTGGAAAAAGGAACATGTTTGAAGTCTAAGTTTCGTGAAGCCTCTAGATACTTTTTGAATTGGTTGTCCTTCACCTGACTGATGCTAATCGGCTTCCTCATTGCCCTCTTGAAGACTTCATCACTCCGAGAGGACTGAACACATCAGATGCACTTAGTTGTTTTTCAAGGTGGCTGTGGATGTTGTCTACTTCCTGTATGCTAGAATGTCCTGGCTCACAAAACTTCTGTTGTATTGAAGATACAGACGTTCATTTAGTGAAATCTATCATTGCAAATGCCATACCCGAATTACTGTTTTGAGGCACACATGAATCGGACCACAATGTTATTGTGTCTGGGTGATGTTCAGCATCTATTCGCTCAAGAATAGCGACAAGAGCACTCGCTATCTCGTTGGCTTCTCGACCTGCCCGTTGTTCATGCCAAATGGCACAATAGCCAGTGGAATTTTAGACTACAATGAGCTGTGAGATTGTAAACTGATAGCTTTTTTCCTGTAAAAGAAGCTGGAGATGTTTGCCCGAGGACAGGTGATAACGTTTTGAAGATCGAAATAAACAGTAACATCATTACCCTGACGATCCTTGTCACGGTCTGTCTTGGTTGCTTGTTTTGATTCAATGTGTTGAGTGTGAGCAGCTTTCAAATTGTCATCTAACAAGTTGTATTTCTCCTTCATACGGAACTCCTCACATCTGTCACACCTATCCTTCTTCGGGGAGTGGAAGTCTAGGTTGAACTCAGTGTTAAATATTGTCCGGTAGAGATGTTCTTTGACTGGAGTTTGACTTTGAATTTCACTCTTCTCAAGATAAAGTCTGTACATTTGAGTAATGGACAGACTCTGGTCGAGATACTTCTTTTGGCTGGATTGTCTACAATAATGAGATTCAACTGTAGGGAAGGAGTTTATGTGATCTCTCATAAATTGCTTATTTTCTATGCAAATTCTGTTCTTTGTCAGTTTCCCGCGCCTGTCACCTTCACAAGGTGTTACTGTGGAAGTGTTATGCTTCTTTTCAAAGTAGTAAGACACCCTGCGTTGAGATATGTTTAATGGGGTCATGTAGTAGTCCTTGCAGACACGGAGTTTCTCTTCTTTAAGAAAGAAGTGGTAAGCAAAGGAATAATGCCTCCTGCTCTTTCTTTTCCGTTCTTTTCCTCCTTTTCAAACACCTTTCGACAGTTTTATTACAAAAGTGGTATTTTTTTGTCATCAGAAAGAGACCAAAATGATTAAAAAATGTTCTGCCTTTCAGAAGGGTCAATGTTTTGAGAGCATTTATACTTGCAGGTTTCATGGCAATCCTGTGTGTTCTTTGGACTCCGTTTTGGAACATCCTGTCCCCGAGTTCCTTTGTGACTTTCACCTGCCTGCCTCCTGTTCTTTCTCCGGTTCTTGCTCCATGAATCAGCATCCCTCTTACGTTTTCTTCCTCTGACAGGAAGATCTGCAGTAACAGTGTTGTTGTTCACGTCCACGTCTTCACTTCCAGATGAGTTCTCAAGTTCAGGTTCTTGCAGCCCTACTGATAAGATGTTGTTTACAGGCTCCTCCACCATTGTTGCTATTTCCACTGTCTCTGCAATTTGCTCACACACAAATCCAGTTGATTCAACTTGGATGTTCAGAGCTCCAGGTACACTTGATTCCATCTGGATAATAGGTTCAA